ATCTCATTGTGGAATTAACTTTTACCATGAAGAAGGTATTGATGCATACGACGTTTACAGACTACAGATCTCTTTACAACACTGGGTAACATCTTTCCTTCGGATAGACTACCTCGTGAATCTGACGGAAAACACCTTATCCGGTGAGCCATTGCAATTTGCATTCCATCGGCTAATCTATATAGAATAAATTTCTTTAATGAAGCTAAGTTTACTTACACATGGCTCTGTTTCACTCCTAAGCGAGCTAAAGTTTCAATGCAGTAATCGCCTGTCATGGGTATGCTACAAGACTTACAGGAGAAAAGCAGGACCTCACAGATAAATTAAACGAAATCATTATTGTAAAATTACCATAATAGTTACACTTACCTGCATGATTTTTTTGTCTCTAATTCGGAACAGTCGGACACCGTCTGTGTCGTAATTATCCCTGTCATTGATATTTTTGAAGCCTGATTTGTGTCCTCCCTGAAAATGCGCTTAACTTGTAACGAATTCTTTACAGAAATGAGCAGCTGCAAACTGTCCAATTTTTAAAAAAATCTTATTTAGAAGATGTGTCTTAAAAGTAATTAACTTCATAGAGGAAACTGTATCCTTATTTGAAGTGTGGAATCAACGACGGTGAGTATGCAGTCGTTAAAGCACACAGTAAATGTGCCCTCAACTTTTATGTTAAACCGCTAGAGCCACTTGTGACTGACTGTCAGAGAGTTACTCATCAAATTAGGCCGAGATTCCATTTAATAGTGATTTAACCTAAAAGTAAACTTAAGAACATCTGGCCTGCTTCTCTAAACGCAGCGAATCCTCTTGTAAATATTCAGCTGGTGACTTTATTCGCCAGTTGGCCAGGTTGAAACGTATCCGAGATTCCCTCGACCAGGACATGAAAGCTTCTGTTCATCTATCACATCTATCACTGCTGTTCTTGTAACAAATGTGAATTGATTTTTCTGCACACACGGTGCCGGGTGAATTTCACAGAGAGAAGATTTGATCTCATCATTGACTGAAACATCATTTTCACATCCAGCATTAAGTGTCAGTCGTGGTATATCAGTATCAGTAAGTATCAGTATCAGCATTAAAAATTAAGCATACAGTATCAGTCGTGTCACAATGAATCATGTTGCACATGCGTAGTAACCATTGCTACAGGTACGAATGACCAATGATTGCCCTGAGTGCCTGGCCTGATCATTGCCTGGATTGATATATTCTACACTACCTGTCAACTTCAGATAACTTTGAAAGATCAATGCAAAATTTTGTATGCAAACAGCTGATTTGATAACCTAAATTGACTGAAATAAAGAACTCCTTCCTCATGAACCAGCTAAAGCGGTGGCAAGGTTAGTACTTCAATCTTTTTTCACATCACTGTAGTATCAAATTATAAATTAAGGGTAGAGGCCGCCGATGATCGCTCAACTCGATTTTATCAAACACAGAAAGGATAACAACAAAACCGGCTTAAATTTGAAAACGTAGTTATTCGATATAATAATAACATCATATGTACTATTTTCTCAGTAAGGTGCTTTAATGATCGCGTGTAGGAATATCTACTCTTTGCTGAGACCAATACTCTGTACAAAATGTACACTCAAATTCATATATACACGGTACAGCGATTCAGGCTTCTAACTCATGGAGGCGTACGCAGGACTGAACAGAATCTCTTAAATGGGCTCTTTTGGCACACCTTCTTTCTCGTGCTTTTTCTATTCCCATTAGATATATAAAATGCCACATGCCATACTCCCGATATTCCTATTGGCTTTGTAGATAACACAAGATGCACCCGGTATTTCGAATATGCTATGGTTTATGAGCATTTTTATGAACTTAGGCCTAACGTACACAGCATTTAAAACCCTGTCGTGTGCATCATCTTATGATCCCAAGGCCCCAACGATGATCGCGATGGAGTGCTCAGCTAGCCCATGCGAAGAAATTTCATTGCAATCGTATAGAAAAGCAGCCACTGCGGTCACTAAGTTGCAAATAAGTTTGCTACTAAGTTTGCAGCCACTAAGTTAAAGTGGCATAGTTGTTTATACCATAAGAATGACCACATCGTCGCCGAACATCTTCAGGAAATGAAGTGGCTCTTTGTTCTGCACTACACGTATCTGCGATAAAAACAAAGAAGGTAATAAGCTGACGTCTAGGACAATTGTTGACAGGATACCTGCAAAGCATCACCATGCGCTTCCTTTTCGTCCATACGAGCTGCCAGCATTGCTGAAGCGGCCTTCTCATCTGTGCTGCTGTTCAGACCCTGCCAGAAGTACACGATCGAACGTTCTCGGTTATTGTCCATGTATTTATACATGATAACGTAGCTGTCTCCGGAATAGAACGTTCCATACTGACTCTTGTCTACCGGCATGAGGAAGAAGTTTTCAACCCTCCACACCTTCATAAAAAAAATCGTGTTACACTTGATGGTATAAAAAAAAGAGTCAAGTTCTTAAGCAACAATAGGTGATGCATGTCATTCTTTAGCTGTTTATTTCAGCGATTTATTTCAAATATTTATTTATACAAAAAATAACTGTCCTTGAAGATAAATTTATCACGGTGACTCTGTGGCATAAAACGCCATAACATCTTAAGAGACCGCTGGAAAAGTACTTAGAAATCAGAAGACTCTACGTGCGATTTTGACGTAGCTGTAAGTACTGCCATAAAGCAGAACACTTCATCAATCAGCGGTGTGCAGCAAAATCAGGAAAAAACAATGCCACTAAAAGCGTTTGTCAAAGAAGGAGAGGCAAACAAAAACCTAAACAGCTGCAAACAAAAGCCTTAGTGTACATTTACTGCTTCTTTACGTTGTAAAGTCAACTGTGATGATTTGGCATGTCTTGCGAATGCTTCCAGAAAGGAAGGCAAAAAAGCAACTACTTATTCACATGACCGGTCGAATACACAGTCAAGACAAACCCTGCTTGAAGCACGTTTATCGTTTGCCGAAGTTTAGACGCTGGCACAAAATCGCGAAAGTTGAAAACATTGCCTGACGCAGTTTCCTCTGCGATTAGAACCGATAAGCGGCCCTTGAAAGTGACTGACTGACTACAAGTACATTCTTCAAATCAGACGATTTTACGCAGTGAACCAATAGGGGGCTTTAGGAACTCTGACCCAATGCCATCATTTCTATTCTCCTGATATCAGCTGATTTTACCAACGTACATAAAGCTTACTAATCTTAAGACAGCGCTTTGCAGACAATATGTCAATCTCTGACCAATCTTCCAGATTTCAGACTTTACTTCAGGCGCAGTCATCAGCGGCCAAAAACGTTTCGGCATGCCAGTATGACGCATAGTGCAATGACTCGCTCTAGCAATGAGGACACGTCATGAACCATGAAACAAGCCATCAGCGAAGCGGAGAATATCGATGACTAATAGAACCCTTCATATCGCTTGAGAAACCTGTCGAGGAGAATGAAGTGTGACCCCAAAAAGAAAGAAATGAACTGAAACTTCCATTCATAAGAATCCCTAAATTGGGCATCAATCTTTTCATTATACTATCTGTATTCATCGATTACGCCGAGAGAATATTAACACAAAACTTGACAGATAATATAAGGATAGGAAACGAAAGGGACGTCATTTGAACCACTTAAATAATTAAGATTCCAAGAAACGTTGCCTAATGTAGTCACCATTCCTGTGAGGATAGGTATACGCATTGAAAATTTTCGATTGAACTTCGGTCAACGGGAAAATAAAGTCCAGTTCAACTGCTACGTTTAGGAACAACAAACCATGGAACATGATACTTCAGAATATTCATTAAAAAAGTTCAACGATTGGATAACTAAGATATCCGGAATGTTTCTAGATTTTATAAGCTGCCTCGCAGATCTGGACATTTCAATTTAACGCTTCTATCATCCCCAATCATAAAAAAACTGTAGGATATATTTTCCTCACAGACGTAAGTTAAGAAACGCCATACCTGGACTTCGCCTTTGCCGTCATCTGGCATAAATTCCGTAACTTCCGTAACCTTTGCCTGCCCTTTGTGCAAGCCATCATAATCAATCTTCATTTGCGAAGCATCGACACTGGCAACTGAAAATATCTCGTAGAATGTCAAATTAGTGTCAACTAAACTTTAGGCAAAAAATAATAGGTCTCGGCGATATCTGAAAAAGCTGCTGAATTTGATTCCATAAAAATTAATCTCTGTCCTTCAGTGTCAGCTGAGAACAAACACCAGTAACAATTAACTTCTCTGAGACACAGAGATATAGAATGAGATCTTGATATGGACTAGTGTGCGACTCTGAACCATCACTGAATAAAGGATTTTACATCGCTATGGTAAACTATTGATTTAAGCCATAAATCAGGAAACGAACAGACATAATCTTATTCAGAGAAACAAAGAATCTCAATATTTAACAGAAGAATGTAAGATTTTCGTTTTTATGATTTAACGCCTGACAAACTTATGACTATAGATTTAAAACCACCATCAACGATTTACACCAATACTGTCGAATGTAGAATATCTCACACAATTCATAAGATTTGACACATGGCAAAGAAGCACCGGCTACTCGCTTCTAGATGTCTTGGGGAAATTTACGTAGGCCAAGATTCCATGTTGTTTCAGGAACTAAGGGTGCGCAGATGCACAGCAGCGTCACAATGTTGGCTGGACATCTTCGTCGCACATAGGAATGACTCAGATTAGAGCAACACACATGCGCATAGCACCAACGGTAATGCCTTACATCCCCCCCCCAAATCATCGTAACTGAATGATTTCAGGCTTAAAGCCAAATAAACTTTCCAGATTCATCGGCCTTGCAAAATTTTTATACCATGTATACTGTCTACATGGCTAAAATCGCATAATCAAAATATTCTTAGTTCTCCCAAATCAATATGGCGAATGGAATTCCTGAAACCTATGGAATTTTCTAGGCTCAAAATAAATTGACATAGAATGCACTCAAAGAATTTTAACATAATTTGAAATATGTTTATCATCCTGGTATAAAAACTGAAGCCACATCGATGAATAAAGCTTATAAAGCGCCCATTACTATTTAGTTTTAATTCCCGTTAAAATACTGAAAAAGCATTCATCCATCTGACTTACATCGACTTCCAACAACATGGAGTTCTGCGGGTGATGTAATTTCTGGTGGGAAATTCATGACTTGTCGAAAAACCGGCACTTCAGCACCTTCACATACCTTGATAACCGGTGTAAACGAAGGGTAACGCCGCATTTTTAGGAACGTCTGCAATTCATCAAGATATAGTAGAGTGATTTATGATACACGAAGGAAAATATGCAAATACTTTGGCTTTTTCCCACACCGTTTTTCTTTCGTTGTCCGTGCATTTTTTGCCTAACCATGCATATATTCCCGTTGGGCCAACGTCCAATATAAAGCAGTCCTTCAAAAACGACGCTAAAACAGGTTGTAACTACCGATCAAGTACCTTCGTGTCAAGAAGCTTTGGGCTTAGTGGTCTCTGGACAACTTCCTTGATATCCATTTTTCCGCTACTGTCTGATATTCTGTAACGGAAAAAATTTCTATTTTATACAAATTTAGGTTCTGAGTCAATGCATTTTTACCTATATGCTGCAGAAAGCAAAATTAAAAATTCCAAGTTTCTCAGCTTCAATGTAAAACAGTTGCAAGATAACTCTTACCGAAACTTAGAAACAATATTATTAAAAGAATTATTTCGCGCAGCTGATCATTACTTCTGCACTCAGAACGTCTATTAGCGCTTTGCATTCTTTGTCAGGTGGGTATCCCTCTGCTTTTTGACGGTGAGCCTGAATACTTCACTGAAACTTCAATGCAACCTCTGTCGTCACAACAACTGTTGGTGTTCTGAAACTGCTAAGCCAGCAGCATAAATAGAAAACCTGCCATTCAGATACAGTTGACAACATTTTAAAGTAATTCTATGACAACCTCACCGTCAATCATCTTGCATCCCTAAAGAATGCACTGGTGTAGGCATAAACCACTTATTCCAGTTCGTGAGATTCTCGTGCATGCCACAACACGGCAGACGTCGATCAGGAGACCAACACGAAACACTGAGAAATTTGGCAGAGGCCAAATTTGCTTTGAGAGAGTAATATTTCCTTCTATGATACTGCAACCGGTTACATATAGCAAAAGAGTTGTGGAATTGAGACTACAATGACCATCAAAAACCAGAAGTGTTCTGATTTTGCAAACAGCTCAAGGTAAAGATAACGCAAACATAAGCTGATCTACTTCTCAGATGGTATGTTCTCTATTCAACAAGCTCAACGTAAACCCTAGAGAGCGGTTTGTGCCAAATATACAAGCAGATCATGATTTTGTGGTCAACTGATGGTCAGCTGACAAAACTCGGTTTCCACGATTTTCGTGATGAATTTATTTAGTGAATAAACAAGAAAATCAATTGCTGAAATCAAAACATTTTTGTTTGTCTTTATTTGTAAAGATCTTCGCCAAAAACGTTTTAAATTCCATAAAATACCTGCGTCGATCAGTTCACAACAGCCAAGAAATATCAGTTTCCATCTTTCTAGATTACTTCAAGTTTAAATGGTTTGCGAAAGACAGACATCATTTAATAAAAATTTACGTTTAATATGAAGAGTGAAAACAGTCGAAATTACCAACTCTTTTACTACTGTCCATTTGTTGCACCATGCTGAAATTTACGACATTCGCTAAAAAATATCCCTCACTATGTTCGCCAAATGTTTCACATGTAACTGTGAATTCACGGTTGATAAAATGGCTTTGTGATGATCTATATAATATCCTAAAATATTATGTAACGGGAGTTTTGGCTAACACTTAAGTTTGTCTTTGTGAGCCAATAAGAAATAAAACATGTCAACCAGATAACAAAATTATCTCCATTAAATTGCAATTCAACAAGTTTTCAACAAGTAATACTGTCCACTGATTCCATCTTTCTGTCAATGTAACCAATGAAATGCAATGATCAACACAATGCATCACAATCTAAGGATCTGCTGTAGAGCGAATTGGCCATGGGAACGACATTTTGAAGATAAACGAAAACGGGGTGAACGTGGGTTCTCCGTTCATATCAGTCAATGGAAAACAAAGCATAGTGAAATATTTTCATTATGTTGTCTATTCCTCAAACAGAGAATCTCTATTCAGATACCAGACTAACTTTCACATAGTTTGATGATCATGACTGAAGCGTAATAATCTTGCCAAAAATTTACATAATTCGTTACCATCTGTTCGACCTGATTCAAGATCAGAAAACTTCGTGTTCTACAGAGTATAAGTTCATTGACTCCTCACTCTGTCATAGTGAGTCAACATAAAAGTCTTTAAGGTGATGCTGGACAATGTACTAAGCAAACCGCAGTGGGTCGCGACGTGAGTAGCGGGTCATCAGTAGCTCTGAAGCGTACTGAAGCGGTAAGAAAATAGTCTAGACTTATGCTGCAGTAAAACATTGCTTGTTTTCTCGTTTACTCTGCAAAACTATGGGATTTCTGATACAATGGTCAGGATGTCATTTTCTGTATAGAGAAATTAGACATGTACTGAACATGTTGTTAGGTTGGATTTTTCCAGATTTGACAAATTTACTTAGTTCAGCAAGCATCCTTCAGTTTTTTATGCATCTCGCCAAGGAACGTAAAGGTGATATGGTAAGAGACGTTGTTCACTTTCTTCGGGAATTAATACTCTGACCGGGTTTGTAATGACTTTAAAAGACACATACAGAAGTCTGTCATGCTGAATTAAGAGAATCTCACTAAATAACAGTGATGAAGGCAAACCTTCACCGCTCAGGTCGTTGTTCAGAGGAATGCCTCCGTAGTACTTCATTCCATCATGCAATTCCGTACTCATATGGCTGGTAATTTTACATAACAAAAGCAAAGCAACCATGGTGAGCAATGGACTTTGTTCCTACTACTGCATCAACAAAATTTATTTTTGACAGATTTGCATGAGATAAAATACTTCGATTATCGTATCATTATTTTCGAATTGACAGAACACGTTGCTAATTATCACGTAAAAGAGAGGGAGAAGAAGAGGATAGGCCAAACGCATATCATCTATTTGACAGAGACTCGAAGCATTGCAGTTTCAAACTATGAGCTATGAAGTAACGCTTCAGCAACCTTAAATGCAGTTCTGTATGTATGCCAGTTCTGTTTGAATTCTGCAGTGTTACCTAACCAAATTTGACCTTGACAAATTAGAGGCTACTTTGTTTGATGACATATTTACAGTACGTTAAATATTTTGCTGTTTATTCCAGCAATTTCCATTTGTTTGTTTCTTCTTTCATTCATTCAATGCCTGAACATCATACGATTTGATATGATGAACCCCAGCACTGAATATCGAGCCCAAATAAAGGTACGTGTATGTGGAGTAAAAGTTACCTGAAGAGTTTGACTTGGGCTTCCGCATTTTTCTCATGCGCCAAATCGTCTTCATCAAAGTGTGCGTCTTTGATGACAGCATTTTCATTTGATCCCAGCTCTACGAAGAACTTCTTCGTCATTTCATCGTCAGGGGTGAGCAGGAATACGAGAGCTTGACCCTGTCGTTCTTCATCTCGAATCTGGCGAGCGAATTCACAGGCCTAAAAAATGCGAGTACAGAGGTGTAATAATTGAATGAACGAAAGACTGACGAATGATGTTCGGAATTACACTGAAACAAAATCGTTTGACCTGAATCACAGAATCAGCAGAAGCTTAGAAAGAATTATGCGAAATTTACTACTTCAAAGTCAGCGACATTAACCGTGTAGGATTGAACAATATGCTCAATGCATCGCCCTGGTGAGCTATAAGTACTGACAGAGGCACGACTAGCAAAACGGACTTTCTTTTCATAGTCACGGGAAGGAAACGGGAGACTATGATCAAACAATGCAGTATATTGAGCATATGGCAGTATCGCACCTTTTGCCAATGGAGCTTGTTTGCTGGAAAAAATGGATCAACAAATAAAAGTCCTAAATTCCTGTAATGAATAGTGGACTGTGAAAGTGAACATACAACTAAATAGTACACTCATCATTTTCCTGCCTTGGATTAAAATCTGTCAGAACTGATTAATGACCTGCGCATTATTATTATTATCATCCATTACCCTTGCATGTTGAGTCAAAATGCTATTCGAGAATATAATCTTACGCACTTTGTCCCACTATCACCTTTAACCATTTATGTTAGATTTGCATTTCTGCACACTTGCCTTGATTCTTTCCACACGTGAACATTCAGGACCACTCCAGACAAAAATTTCGCATCCATTGTCCAAAACGAAAGCGTCGCCTTTATTCAACGAATCAACATTACAATCGACCTGAAATAAAACTCCTTAAGACAGCATGTTTGAATACAGGCTTTCTACCTGTTGAATTCTGCAATTCCGCTTGCCCTTGATTTTGTACAACGATTTTTTGTATTCCTTAGGGCCAACATGTTTAAAGCCGCTTTCGACGCCACCTTTGAGGTATCTGAAAATGAAATATACTGTAGCAAACCTTCGAAGATCAGCGTGACAACTACAATTTACAATTTTGAATAATCAGAAAATATATACACAAATATCCATAGTTAGTTAACAAATTTTTACGAACACTGGAATGCGGTGTTTGAAATTAAATAGATGTCGCCACATCAGATGTGGCATTTGCCGGTAATCGAACGGTTTTTTCCTCAACTACCGATTAGCCTAGACAGAATATTCGTTTAGATACTTAGTGGGCACCACAAATCCAACCTTGACATGCTTGTCGATGAGAATGTCCAAAGTCAAAAGTCACGGGATATTCGGTGAACTAGGAGAGAAGGTTTCGATAGCCGTGAAACGTGAAACAGCCTGGTAAGGGCCGAAGGACATTTTTATGACTTTAGAGAAAACACGTGAAAGAAATATGACTCTAGGAATAACTAATCAAAATGGAAATATTCTAATCGTCTGTGTCAATCTTTGCAATATCCGAACAATTCGTTTATTCATGTCGACCGTCGTTTAACTGATAGGCGATGACTCATGAACTATGCGAAACAAATTGAGGAAAATAGAATTCGCTGTGCCGTTTGGATGTTAAAAACCCAAAAAGCGCGGTGCTCGAACAATATAATCAGAAATGCACATAGTTGTTTGAACAGAGAAAATTCAGTGTATATATGGTACCGATACACCACAATTTATTTCAAGCCGTTTCTGGTCTTTGCGTAATCTACCTCATTGGCATCGCGCGAAGAATCTGCTGAGGTTTCCAAACGGCGCCAGTCAACTGATCAGTTTCTAAACTGTACTCAGTTGAATTGCTCATAAGCAGTCTGCTGACTGGAAAAAGTCTATAGGTTATGATTGCGAGTTGTTTGCTTGAACAGCATATACTGTGCACTGAATCGTTGGTCCAAGCACCCAAATCAGAAATAGATCTATAAGACTTTACTCTAAGACTATAGGGTTTCACCTGTTCGAAAGGTAGGTGCTCACATTACATGGAGCTCTAGCCTTATTAAATCCGCGTTAATCTTTTAAAAGCAAACAGACGGTCCGTTAATGCCGTGTAAAATATGAAATGACATCTCTAATCCAATACTTAATAATTTTTTAAACTCATTTTAGCTGTCTTTTTAATTAAACTAGTACTTAATAGGTTTCAGACACATCGAAACAGATGTATAGTAGTCTATACTAGAACTGCCGACGTTTCAGCCAAATTGTATTCGCCATTATCAGGGCAAACAATGTTCATTTGCTTGTTCGCCAGGAGGACGAGCGATTTAGTTCAGCTGAAACGCTGACAAATATAGTAAAGACCATTACCCGTTTGATTCGTGGTTTAGAACGTTCGAATGCTCGTTTATATCCTTTACTCTAATTTATACATTTCGTGAATAATACAGGTATACAAATGCTACTAGAATTTCTTTATGCGGGTAGAAAGCTCTTTATCTTCATAGCCTTCAGTAGGTTTAAACCGTAAATGAATTTTATTGCAAAAATCCCGAGATTTCGGATTCAACTGGGATCATCTTCAGGGAACATAATACAAAGTAGTAGATTAAAAAAACAAGTACACTTAGATAAGGTTCCCAACCAATCCCACTCATTTGAGAGAGCGCCAACGAAAGTCCCATATTTTCGCACATGATGCCATTTAGGTGCCTGCATCTCTGTTCACCATGGAAATTACATACCAGGTTATTTATTAATTTCTCAAGTGCCAATGAACTAAGAGCCATCATTTTTTTCTGCTCGCTAATGACCTTCGCCAGAGGTACTGTAACCATTTACATACCTTGCCTTAAGAAAGCGTATAAATTAACTAATAAATCACAAATATCTTGTTGTTCTAAACTCTTACTGGAAAAGTAACGCGACACAATGATCGTGCTCTTTAGCTGCTAGAACGATGATGAAATTTCATTATAGTCGTTCCTGATATCAACAAGTAACGTTATTGTCGATGGCACTGTCTAACCAAACGCCGGGTAATGATAACAGATGCGCAGATGCCTGCAGATGTTGAATATACTGAAACTATATTAAATGCATATACACATTACTGCACATCATTGGTTTTTTAATTTAAGGGCTACGCCTTGTAGTAGTTTAATCATCTACGAAGTTAATTAGGATGAACTGCAGCAGCGTAAAGCGTCATACTTATCACACCCTGGCATGAACATACCGAAACAGCACGTTTTCCCTATCATTCACAAGTCACCAATAAGCTACCCATTTTTCGGCTGACTGCATCGAAGCGTAATAAAATTAATTCCTCAATCAAAGGAATTAGAAGCTAATTTTAAAAAACTTATTATGTACTATGGTATTTACTCCCTACTCTGGTTTAAAGCGGAGTTTCTTTCGCCCTGGCTCCCCAGACATATGTTGCTTATCAAATAAAGTGCAAAATCTAATTACCGTATGCCTTTTCTGAAATATGACATGAACAAGTCCGACTCATGATTCTGAACTTCGCGGTATTCAACAGGTTCGCCACCAAACAGGTCGTCAAGTTCAACTGTTTTGATGGCCGCGGCACCTGCTTCATCCTGAAATCCACTTCTGTAGAAATATGGATCGTCGTTAACAGTGAAATTGGACTCACCTTTGAACAGCTACCACCGATCCAGAAATGAATGTTATGATGCAGGCCTTTTGTAGTCTAAAATGTAAAACAAATTCAAATATAAAATACTGAAAGCAAGCCGACTACATGTGCAACACACTGAAGTAATAATAACGATAAAAGTAGTTTTCAGGTCAGCTTGTCATGATTTGCGTTGGTCAAGTCGAAGCCTTGTTTAATATTGTTCTCTTCACCATTTTACCGCTTTTTTCCCTATAGTAATTTAATTATGACAGTTAAGTAAACCGCGCTAATCTTGATCTAGAAAATCTGGATGTTGCTTAGAGCATTTACAAGGCTCTATTTACGTCTTTCCACTGATCTACCACTTGATCTTTTATGC